CCCCACATGGATCACACCTGGCACATGCAATACATGTTCAGTGTCTATTCTTTGTATATTTACTGCAGTTTTTCATGTATACCAGTAGTCTGATACAATATTTACAGTTTGAAAGGGTGTTCAATGAAATGTGGTGATGATTAATGGTTAATGTGATAGCAGTTAAAACAGGACCGGTCAAATTTGACCGTGAACACCAAAGTAAGGGGGGGAAACGAAGACAATAGGCGGGTTAAGTAAATCCGAATCTGTTAATTATATATTTTAGGCAGCTTACACCAGAGCATCATCATAACGTGTCCAACAGGTTTATGTGAACCTTAAATATATATGTGTTGTTTTACAGACCCTGTGCTTGCTTAATAACTTCTTTCATCACACGAAATACATTTTAAAACATTACAACATGTATTTATTAACTTTGAGTCAGATGTTTTAACTATTACATACTTTCCTCAAAAGAAAGTCACAGCAAAACAAAAATGCAGTTTTGAAAACAACCATTTTGAATTGACCTATATTATAGAATACAGATGCCATCAACATTAAAACATGCACCAAACGAATCCACTTCCTGAGTGGGACAACTGTGAGAACAAACTTTCTTGTTTACTTGAATACAAAAAAGAAAGCTACAAATATGGCAGTTAATCACCATTTATTAAATAACCATCTTTACCGGAAGAGTTTGGCTGCTCGCTGACTGAAAATGCAATACATCCTCATGAAGGCAGCCCTGTTACCTCTACAGTCTGAAGAAGCTCTTATTTCCCATTTATAAATGTGAGTTCATCTCAGGAATGGACATTTGTGAGGTAAAGGCGTTGGATTTGTGCTGTATTTTACGACTTATGAACCAAAAAAACAACTATAAAGGAGATTTATGTTTTTGTGAGAGCTACCAGATTTGTGTCTTCCTCATCTCCTTTAAATATCGTCAGGGGCGACGGAGAGGTGAGGGAATATTTCCCAAAAACTTGTTTGGATTAATACATTAGTTTTTAGAGCAGGCAGTCAATGTGAGGTTTACATCAGGGTCCTGTAGATTGGTCTTAACTATGGTGTGGAACTTCTCTCTGTACTGATTGAACTGCATGATGCTTTCTGGTTCTTCTGCCACCCAGAATTTATCAAATTCATACGCCAGATAACCTGGAAGAAAAACACAGATTTTAGAGACTTCTTACAAAGATTACATTTTGTATTTTTCTAGCAAATGGAAATAATCAGAGAGGTTGAAAAACAGAAGAGTTATTTGATGTATTTGTACTCACAGTATAGCTGATGGAATTGCCGGAGCTCAGGAGTGCCCGGTACCGTGTTGTAGAAATGAGGTTTCAATTCACCGCTCTTCAGGAGGCTGTACGCCATCTCCGTCAAGTTGATCCCAACAATGGCATAGGAATACCTGAAATAAGAGATAAGGCCTTTGACACAAAACTGAAAACAAAGCAAAGATATTAATAAATGTATGAATGTCTCTTACCCTAGTTTAGGATGGTTTGCGTGAGACAACACCTGACGAGCCTCCTCTGTGTAGTTTTCACTGAAAAAACTGAAACAAAATCAACTCATTATAATAATTATTGCAAAAGTGATGGAAAACATGTGGGCTAAAGAGTTTGGAAAGAAAAAAATCTTGGAACGTGGAGTCAGAAAGTAGCGATCTTTCATGACCTCTATGTGATGACCTCATCTCTGCTTGTGGCTACATTAGCGGGAAACCTGAAGTCAAGTGTAAGACCTTTAAGACCTCATCGCCACTTCGAGTTCTAACCGGTTACATTGGCGACACACTTTACCTCACATTGACTATATACAGTATTGATTGTCCTTCCTCCTTATCTTCCAACCATTTGGACGTAAACTTGCATTTCCCCATAACGATGTTGCTTAACAACCGGCGTAAACGGACCTTCGCGCGCCATCAAGCAGTGAGCGTGCGATGTCCTGTTCAGATGACGTCAAATCCAACGGGATGCCATAAATAAACTACACAGAATCACACTACACACCTACGCAATGATTACATTCAGGCAGACTGTAGAATACAACCTCTTTGGACAATTGATATACTTATTGAAAACAAGCTACAAAACGTAATACCTTGGAAAATGCCGTTTAGTACTTTTTAATAGCCTTCATTTAGCGAAAATTAAGGCTGATTTATCAACTTTTAATACTTTTTAAGTCCCGGTGGACACCCTGTAACTACTAAAAGCTTAAGATCTGCATAAAAGCCAGGCCTTGTGAATGTGAATATATATATATTAATGATCTTTTCCCCATAATTTTCCCCCAGTTTCTTATATTCGAATCTATGCAAATAAAGAGACCAAAACGTATGCAAAACGTGTCATTCACCTTTTGTAAGCTAGTTACCAGATGACATTTCTAAACACAACCTTTGTAATGGCACTTAGACTACCCACTGTATGAAAATATCTACGTCATTTTCAGAGTATAGTAGGAGATTACTTGCTGAATGTGAAGAGAAATTGGTTTCATGTGTAATTTATATAAATAGAGATAAGCTCTAAAAGTGGTTTGAGTGAGTGAGTACAAATGCATCAATATATTTTCACTTTGAAAAGCTGTCCTCTCTCATTAGTCTCATTATTTACACACCATTGGCTGGAGGGAGGTACACACTTGAACTCTGGGCAGTGTAATGCCTTGTTTACATGAATAACTTTTGTGGGATCCGGAGACACCCGCAGGTTCTTCAGAGGGTCCTGGAGTGACGCTTGATTATTGAGAAATGCCAATCCAGTTTTATTTTCTAAGACTGGTGCAGTGCCTGTTCGGGGATCGCTCTCAACTCAATTTCACTCTTAATCTGCACATTCAGCCCTGAGCAAAACACCCGCCAAGTGTGAAGCCAAATGCAATAACAGCTGTCAGTAAACTCTTAGGACAGGCATATATACAAAGAGACAGTTAGCTCCCTGTCTACGAAGATGGGTAACTGCTTTAAATACGGCCAATTAAATGAAATGAATGATTAACCATGTTTGGACAAAGCAGTAATATCACTGAGATTAGATAATTGTTGTTGGCAGATTTGAGTTGTATTGAACGTATGCATGCACATAGGAAATGGAAGTTAAAGCATCTCAGAGGAGTGTCCCACCTGAAGCTCCTCGGTGCTCCTGCTCTGCTGCATCTCTGACAGAAGACCGTCTGCAGCCTCCAGCCAAACCTGGACGCCCTGCATCTCCTCCCGAAGCTTCTCTCTCTCCTCCAGCTCCGTCCTGGCTGCCTTCAGACCCTCCTTGCTCTTCTGCTTCACACTATGGAAACACACAAACACGAATGTCCGGCAATTTAAACAACAATTAACCAACTTTATAGCCTCTTACCTTGAATCCATGATAGTGAGAGTTTGCATTGAGAATACATCAACCGTTCAATTCAAAGCACAAAGCCTCATGGCAGTTAAAGTACTGTCAGTGTAAACATATTCAAATACTGCCCATGCTCAGAGGCCCCGCAGTCCATGTCCGACCCACTTTCCCCTGATAGCTTGTGGGTAATTGAGTTTTTGTTATGCCATGGAATTAAAATCACAATGAATGGGTTTAATTTAAAAACGAAAACTAAGGGGAAAACTGTAGCTAAAGAATCAGCATATACAGAGTGACTGTTGGGTTGTTTTAAAATACATTTAAAAGGCAGGTGACCCAGGATGATTTACAAAAATCATTCTTACCCTCCCAATTCAGAGACAGAGCGATACTTACAATTACAAAATGTAATAAAATTAACTTTTAAGCCAAATCCAAAAGCTGGGTCTTGAGGTGGCCTTTAAAAGTATATACATTATCTGCCACTATCTTTTATATAAATGTAAGGTGACCAGTGAAATTATTTTAAAAACTGACATTAGATCATTACCGAAAGTCTTCAACCACAAAAACGTCAATAAAGCTATAAAGTGAAGCTGAAACACCGTCCTACCTGCTGTATCGACCCTGCATGGCCTGCAGCTGCTGACAGAGCGGAGTGGGTGGGGCCTGCTCCAGGTCGGCTGGGACACGCAGCAGCCTGGCGGTGCGCAGCTCCAGAGCGGACAGTGCTCGATGTTCACAGTCCAGGCTGTCCTGGTACTGCTCCCAGGACTGCAGTAGGTCCTGAAGGTCCTCGGTGGAGGCCTTCATCCGGGACACATCAGGATGTTCCCCCTCCACCTCCTCCAGCAGAGAGGAGGTCTTCTCCACCTGAGGAGGGGCCGCACACAGACTTAATTATACTTCATAGTAATATGGACAAAAAATAAATGGAAAGTGTGACACTTGGATAAGACTGGAGGGGGTGAAGTATTCGTTCAGATTATATATTTTACACCACAAATATTCTTTCCGTAATCTGTAACTTACACTGTTGGTGATTTCGCTCCATTCTGCGATCCTCTGTTTGCTGCGTGTCGTCAGCTCGTTTATGCAGCGGCGTAGTCTCGATACGCGTTTCCACACAGAAGCCACAGCGGACTCCCTGCCCCCCCGACAGCTCCGCTCTGGGCACCACTCGTTCAGCTCCCCCAGACGCCTCTGCAGAGACTCCACCTCCTCAGACAGAACCTGCAACAGAGAGTCATTCAAAATGTGATTTATATGATAGAGATGAACACAATGGTGAATGATATGGGTCCCTGGAGCACGGAAACTCAAATAGAATAATGCTCATACGTACTCCAAGCTTGGTCTGCTGGTCAGTGCAGTCAGCGAGACAGGTGACTTTATGACAGATGAACTGTGAGAGGCTGCTCTCTGCGCTCTTCACACTCTGGAGGATTTCATCTTGGCTCTTGGTGTATTTTCTGTAATGTTCTGCACAACTGAAAGAGATCATTTGTGATCTGTTAAGGTCTAATAAGAAGAAGATAATGCTTATTCTCAAACACAAATAAGGCACAGAATGGCTGTGAAGTTGAGAATGCAGACTTTCATCTGTTAGCATATTACCTGCTGAGGTACTCCAGTCGGATGTGTCCCTTTGCCTGGAGAGTGGACATCCTCACCAGGAGCTGACTCAGGATGTTCTCCTGGAGCTGCTCCACCTTCTGGGGGCACAGGTAAGGATGCAGGGCGTCTTGTTTCTGGAGCTGCTCCACATGGGTCTGGAACTGCTGCTGCAGCGAGGCCAGAGCCTGCTGGGTCTCCGGCAGTCTGTCGGAGCAGAGACCAGCAGAGCCCTGTGGGGGCAGCAGAGACACCTCGATGTCCCGCAGGAACTGAGCCGCCTGTGTTACAGCACAGGTGTAGCGGCTCAGGGACTTTTTGGCCTGGGTGATATTCGCCTAAAATACATAAACACAATTTTTTTATTACTCAAACTAATCCTATATATCATTCCAGTCATTTATTTGAGATGTTTTTGACCTTATTTTTTATTGTCCATTATAATTGGTCCCAGTTTTGTTGCTCACGACTTTAGCTTTGGATGGTGTGGATTGGATTCTCATTCACCAAAAAAAGATATATAATAAAAACAAGAACTTGCCATTTGGTGGTCGCATTCGCTGAAGACCGATTTCTTCAAGTCCATCACATCTTGGAATCCGCTCCCTTGTCTGTTTCGTTTCTTCTGCTCGAAAAGCTCCAGTGCTCTCATTCTTGACTGTACAGTATTTTTGAAAGACATGACTCTTTGGTATTCGTTGTTAATTAGTGTTTCATTTGGCTCCGATGAGGGGATTGTCTGGAGCTCCTGCTGGGTCTTCAAGAGGAAGGCCTGAATGGCCACCTTCTCTGAGTCCAGGTCCAGCTCCTTCAGCAGGTTCAACTCCATGATGCTGAGGTTGTTGTAGAGCGTCAATTCCAAGGTGTCAAGGCTCTCCTCGTTTTTTTTCAGTCTATGCCGCTCTGTGCTCAGCTGTGAGGGGTAGATGTCAGCGGAGATCATCTCGAGTTTGGATCCAGCCTCCTCAGACATGTACCTGATTAGAGGAAGCTGGATGAGGAGGGCCTGCCAGACTTTGTACTTGTCCTCCAGCGCCGTGCTGTCGTCTTTGGTGTGACTGACTTGCTCCTGAACGCTCTCCCTGAGGTCCTCTACACACTGCCTCTGGTTCAGGTACGCTTCGTGACCTTTGGCTTTCATTTCCAGGGTGACCATTTTGCGGAGAAGTTCAGAAATGACCGAGTACAGTTCCTTTGACTTTTCCTGGGGAATCAAGGGTTGCAGAATGTCAGCCTGGGACTTGTGCTCCAAAATCATGTGTTTGAAACGCTCAAAGGCTTGAAGGGACTCGCTTGTGATGGGGAACCTGTGTCTACTCAGATCTACTAACATCTGCCTCAGGCTTGTTTCAATTTTGACAACGTGTTTCTTGCTGGAATCTAAATTCTGGGTGAGATTGTCAAGCTCCTTTTTGGTGGCTTTCTCATAGCTGCTGATGGCTCTGATGTCCTCCTGGAGGTTGGTAAGCTTGTCATAAAGATGACAGTTCTCGCTGATGCTGAGTTCAGGGGCAATGTCTTTACTCTTCATTAAAAGAGCTTCGCAGACAGCGGCTTGCTTCTCAGCCTCAGCCAGAGTCTCTTGGATCTGACGGACTCTGCGCTCAGTGTCAGCCGGGCCCTTGAGCTCGCTGTCCGGACTCCTGGAGGCTTCTTTATGGAGATGAGCCAAAACCCAGGACTCTAGATCAGCAATCTGCTCCGAAAGCTTCTCTCTGGTCTGCAGTCCCGACTCTATCTCTCTCACAGCCTTGGCTAGCTTCTCAGTAGTCGACCCTGATAGTTTGTGAAGGGAGTCCAGAGATGAGCGCACCATCGGCACCTCCTCAGCCTGGTCCAGCTGTGGAAGGAGCTCCTCCACCTCCTCCACCAGCAGCTCCAGTTGGCCCTGTTTGGTTATGACCTCGGACTGCATCTTCTTGTGATCTCTGAGCTGACGGTGTACATTCTCAGGGAGGAGAGCCACCCTCTTCCTCCTGCCTTCAATGTCACTCTCTGTCTGCTTCGCCCAGGAAAGGCCATCCCTCATCACCATGAGTATTTTCTCCATGATGGGGTTGCTGCTGTTCTGAGTTTGAGATGAAATTAGTTCCTCTGTTTGGCGAATTTGGTCTTTGACTCTCTGAAGCCCCTGCTTTATTTCTGTTGTTTCCTTCTCACTCTGTGTGCTGGGGAGTAGCACATCTGACAGCTGCTGCAGATGAAGGTGTGTCTGCTGAGCAGCTTTAACCTCTGCATTTGCCACCATCAGCTGCTTCGCCTTCTTGCAGTTCCACTGAGTAACCGTAGGAGACTTGGCTTCAAGGTCTTTGTCGACTGTCTCCAAATGTTTCTTAAGACCTGATATCGCAGACAGAAGGCTGCTGGTGTTTTGAAAACGGACCTTTGTGTGATACAGGTTTCTCTCCACAGCTCTTTCCAGGCCCCTCCACTTCTCTTGCAGGCTCTTCTGCACGGTCTGTGCGGTTGCTCGCTCAGACCAGCTGAGGTGGGGGCACAACTTGGTATGGGTCAAAAGCAACTCCCCAAGTACTGTTCTGTTCTCCTCCATGCTTCTCTGTAAGGAGAGTAGTCGCTCCGTTTCCTTTGGGATGCTCTCCTCTGGGGACCTGGAATAACACAAGGAGTCTTGGAATCATCGGCCTGGCATTTACAACATTACAAATATTAGCTTGATAGGACGATTTGAGATTTAAGATACAATATTTAAATAACATGAAATGTTAATTAAGAAAAAGCTTTAAAAAACATTCCAGTTTGCCCCCTTTGGCTTTATGCCACCACGTTTTAAAATGTAATATTGTCTTATCTTGTTTTTGTGAATTGGTTTTAGAATGGTTTGGTTTGTTTTCTTCTAAGTGGATCTAAGGAAGAATAGACAAGATGAATAATTTTGATAAAGCTAATGAGGACCCTAAAAAAATACTAAACACTGGAACACTAATTTAATGACAGTTGTATATAATGTGTGCGTTTTAAATGATATATTCTCGAGCAATACAAATCTGTTTGCAAAAATAATTTCAGGTTGATAACAGTAAAGAAATGAAATGGAAACCATAGATGAAACTCACATCCTGACAGCTTCCAGTTCTGCTGTCAGTCTCTCCAGGGTGGTCTTGGCAGCTTCACACTGTGCGCAGTAATCTCTGACCAGCTGCAGTTGGGCCTCTTTACTCTGGATGACGGCAGCTGCATCCTGAACTGCGGTACTCCACTGGTCCTCCACACACTCCAGAGCTTCTTTATTCTCAGCTTCAGATTCTCTCAACTGAGAGAGCAAGGACACTTGTGCCTGGGCAGTGTCTCTGCACTCCTGTACTCAGGCAAAAGTAACCACAATTATTTAAAGCCTGTCATTTTAACGCACATTTTATGTTTATTGTACATCTGATTTCTACTAAACACAAGTATAATGCTATGAATGAATTATTTCTAGGGCCGGGACTTTAACGCGTTAATTAAGATTAATTAATTAAACAAAAATTAACGCATTTTAATCGCACTTATTTTTGCACCGCGGAACGTTTCTCACTGGATGAGTTTCAGGGGTACCGATTATACTGGAGCACCAACTAACGTTCATGACTTCAGACAACAACAAACCACAGTGAACAATTGTCAAACATGAACGAAGAAGCTGATGAGACCGCTTTGGTTGGCCCCGTGGATGGGACATTTTGTTTTAAAAAACGGACGGATGGAAGCGTCAATAAGAGCACGGTTGTTCGCAAATTATGCAAAAAGGAATTCACATATCACTGCAGCACATCAAGCCTCAAGTATCACCTCAATGCAAAACATATAGCAGCTAGCGTGGAAGCTAGCGTGGACGTTAGCCCGACTCGGAGTACAAGGACCCACACCCAATTCGCGTTGATCAAACAGTGGCCTATGCAACAGAGAGATTTTATTTTTCATCAGGATATTGGAAGAATAGGAGGGATTGAGGTCAATCACTGGCACTTTTTTATTTTATTTTAAATGGTACAGTACCTTTATGTTGAACTATTTATTATGTTGTTGGTGCAACTGGCACTTTATGTTGAACTGTTTATTGTTTTGGCCAAGGTTATTGAGAGAGTTGGACTGAAATTGATTAGATTTTTTAAATCAACTGTTGGTAAATCAACAAAGTTTGTTATTGCCTCTGAAGCAACAGAGAGATGTTTTCTCAGGGTTTACAATGTTCTGAATGTACTTGAAAGTATTGTGTTTTAACTTAAAAAAACAAGTG